GAAAGCACACCACCAAGCAATAAGGCAAATGATAATGTTGTTGGTATTTCTTTCTTGAAGAAAAAAAAAAAATGAGCAGGATGGGGTAAGGAGTGGCAGACCGTGACCTTGTGTTTGCATTTCCTCAGGGGAACAGAAGAGGCCCTGATATGTGTGGAAGGTCACCAAGGAGAGGATGGATGTAAATACAGGGGAGCATCACTGTTACTCAAGGTCACCAAAATGATTCTATTTCTCATTAGAGTCCCTGGATCCTGAAACATCTTGGTATTTTCTCCCCATTCTACTTGTAACTTGGTAGAGCTGAGATATGATGTGGAAGTTGGGCACACCGGGCACCATGTCAGAGAAGCCATCACACCTTTGCTCTTTCTCACTCCGGGTGAGCACCAAGGAAGGAGAACACTGGGCCCCGGCTTTCACTGACCACACACACTAGCAACTGAGAGCCACCAAGGGCCCCTCTGAGCAGTGATGGGGCTAACAGGGTCTGACATTAACAGGTCAGGGGAAGTCAAAGCCCTGTCAGTAGAGCTGAGATGGTATGTCTCCATAGGAAAGGAGGTGGGTGCAGGCCTAAAGGAAGCCACAGAGGGGCCCAACCCGTGGTGGCATCCAGGGTGGGGTCTGAAGGATTCCCGGTGGGCACTCTCCACCTTGGTGGTCAGCGTGAACATTCTGTTCTGAAGTTCACCACTGAGGAAGCAAAGAAGGTACTACATACACCAAGAAAATACCCCTGTGAGAAGGACCCTGAGGTAAGGAGGAGGAGGAGGGGCGATGAGGACTGGGGACTTCCAACAGGCACAAATACGGGTCTCACAAATCCCTTCAAGGTGGCCTTCAAAATATTTCACCACTGGCTTGGGTTCTAACCGATGAGAAGGGCTGCCGGCTGTCAATGCTGATGATTCCCAGTGGATTTCAGGCCTGCCTGTATGTTTTATTCCCATTTTTGTATATACTGTATACCTCACAAGTTAAAAAAAAAAATTCTATAGATTTGTTCTGTGCTGGCAAACATCCTTAGTCCATAGATGCCACAAGAACTATTTTTTTAATTGCTGACCCTTCTGTGCTCACGCTACTTTGCAGTAGAAAAGTAAGAACCTCCTTTGATTTGAATCTGGCTCAGGGAAATGGCTTTGCAGTCAGCTAAGCTTGAGTTCAAATCCTGCCTTTCAATGACTATTCTTGGCAAAATATGGAACCTTTCAAAGACTCGATTTTTAAAAATTTATAAGGGGTATTTTGCTATGGTGAGCGCTGTGACCTGTGTAAGACTGCTGAATCAAAGACCTGTGCCCTGAAACAAAGAATACATTATATGTTAATTAAAAAAAATAGTGAAAAAGAATAATAAAAAAATAAAAAGGGATACTATTCCTCCAGCGCAGCGCTTCTGTGAGAATCAACATCGAGGGGCAGCTGAGTGGCTCAGTCGGTGAAATGCTGACTCTTGGTTTGGCACAGGTCACGATCTTGGAGTTGTGAGATCAAGCCCCGCATCAGGCTCGTCACTCAAGCCTCTCCCCCGCCCCGCCCCCCCCCCATCCTCTCTGCACGTTCTCTTTCGCTCTCTCAAATAAGTAAATAAATTTAAAAAAAAAACAAAAGAATTAGCATGGAATTTCCTAAGTAATGTGCTCAGCGCAATGCCTGGCTCATGGGAGGTTTTTGCAATGGTAGCTCTGAAATTGAAAATTTATTTTCATTCAGATAAGTGCTAATTGGTAATTAGGTTATTTTATATATGGGTTTGGGAAACTAATAATCTAAACTAATAGCAAAATAAGAAGTGTGAATGTGGCAGAATACAGGGTTTTCTAAAATATTTGAAGCAATCATGAGGAAAAAAATCCCAACTGAAATACCACTTATGGTATTTCATGCCTTCCTGAAACCAACCCTCTAATCAATTCTATTTCTATTTTCCTGATTTGAGTAGCTGATTATATGTAAAACACAGTTAAATTTTATTTATTTCAGAATATTTCATAGTTGAGAGTTCTCACTGAATCAGCCCCCACCCCGACCCATAATTACTTTGCAACGATATAGTCTTAGTTCACACAGGAGACCAATCGGAACGTAACGTTATGTATCTGTGAAGCAATTTCACAAGCCTTATCCCACTTCATTCACAAAGCTGCCACCCACCCGGGGGGAATAAGCATCAGAAACTGTAAGCCCAGACCAGTGTTTCCTTTTTTTTTTTTTTTTTTTAAGATTTTATTTATTTATTTGAGAGAGAGAAAGTGGGCAGAGAGGCAGGCAGAGAGAGAGGGGGAAGCAGGCTCCCGCTGAGCAGGGAGCCTGATGCGGGGCTCGATCCCAGGACCCTGAGATCATGACCTGAGCTGAAGGCAGAGGCCTAACCCACTCAGCCACCCAGGCAACCCCCTCTTAAAAAAAAAAAAAAAAGCTTAAGAGGCATCCCAACCTCTGTCCCCTTCTGGGACGGCATGCAGCCTCCACACCCACACCGGGGACCAGCACAAGTGGTCACATCTCATCCTTCTGTCTCCTTGTCTATGTGGAGAAGGACATATAGGACAGCACAGAGGAAAAGAGCATGGGGCAGCTCACAAGACAGGAGCGAGAAACTGGACATTGGGGAAGAGGTGGGTGGGGAGTACACCGCACAGAGAACACAGAGCACCTGCTCGCCCTTGATGCAGAAAGAAAGACTGCACATGTTGAAACATAGGCAGATCCCGGGGCCCGCTCCAGCCACGGTTGCCCCCATTTTGGCCACACACTCCAAAGCTGAGCCAAAGATGATAGCAAGAATCTCATCCAGCAAGAGTGAAAGGAGATCATTCCTGGATTTGAAATAGAATCGCTAACATTTTTTCTGGAAAGAAGGCCCTCTATCCCTTGTCATATAATTGGGGAAGTTTTAGCTTCTAAATCCTAAAGAAGAAGGAGCATGAAACAATTGGTGGGTAATGATAGTTACTGTGTATGTATGAGTGTATGAGTGCATGAGAGTGTGTGTGTGTGTGTGTGTGTGCGCGTGTGTGTGCATACATGTGTGGGGTGGCCTCGCCAAGCCCCATAACCCCCAACAATTCGATATGAAGGAAGAAGCCCTGAAATTCAAGGTTAGGGTACAGGTTTTTTGTTTTGTTTTTGTTTTGTTTTGTTTTCAGAAAAGCCAAAATTGCTAGGACTTGGGGAACGTGGTGAATCTGCATCCCTGGAAACAGCCATGGCCTTGGCCATGAGCCATGAGGATGCTGTGTGAGGAAGGGGAGGAGCTTATTGAGACTGACTAACCAGTATAAACAGGGCTCTGTGCTGGCCAGTAGAAAGCAACTGGCAGGGTTAGGTAGGCTTCTTTTCTTTTTTTTTTTAATTTAAAATCAATTTAATTAACATACAGTGTATTATTTTCAGGGGTAGAATTTAGTGATTCATCAGTTGCATATAATGCCCAGTGCTCACTCCATCACGTGCCCTCCTTAATGCCCATCACCCAGTTACCCCTTTACCCCCACCTCCTCCCCTCCAGCAACCCTCAGTTTGTTTCTTATGATTAAGAGTCTCTTATAGTTCATCTCCCTCTCTGATTTCACCTCATGAAACAATAGATGTTGGCAAGGAGGCAGAGAAAGGAACCCTCTTACACTGTTGATAGAATTGTAAACTGGTACAGTCACTCTGGAAAACAGTATGGAGGCTCCTCAAAAATTTAAAAAATAGAGCTCCCCTATATATAGACCCAGCAATTGCACTACTAGATATTATTCAGAAGATACAAACATACTGATCTGAAGGGCCACCTGTACCCCAATGTTTATGCAGCAATGTCCACAACAGCCAAAATATGGAAAGAGCCCAGATGTTCATAGACAGATGAGTGGATAAAGAAGATGTGGCATATATAATATATAGACTAGAATAGAATATTACACAGCCATAAAAAAGAATGAATATTGCCATTTGCAACAACTAGAGAGAATTATGCTAAGTGAACTAAGTCAGGCAGAAAAAGACAAACAGCATGATTTCACTCATATGTGGAATTTACGAAACAAAACAGATGAACATAGGGGAAGGGAAAGAAAACCAAATGAAGGTCGGCTTCTTTTCTGAGAGTTCCTCTCCAGGTGAAGAGGACCTGAAGTAGCAGCAGGGATCTTTAGACACAGGAACTGTGAGGAATTTGTTGTTAAAACTAAAAGATTACAGAGTTTTCAAACAAAACAGTGCCAACATTCCAGTTCTCAGACCTCCCCACCACAGTGCTCTAAGTTTCCGTCACTGTCACTGTGCCCCCATTTCCAAAACACAAAGATTTCTAAGCCAGGGTTGACCAGGTGGTCTAAGTAGTTGACTTGTGGTTCTTACCTGAATCCTGTAGGAACTTCTTCAACCCCGGACCATAATCAGAATCTGAATTTTCACAAAATCCCTGGGTGATATGACAGCCAGTGGCCCAAGCTTCCTCGAGCCCCCCCCAGGGAGGCATTATGACAAACAGGAACCTTTGCCACAGGAGGACCCCCAGCTACATGCCAGCGCACCAGTGACTTTGATTCTCCCTATCATTCCGCGGGACTGATTTAACTTGAGTGTCCTTGGTTATGGAGATGAACGCTAGCCCCGAGTAGTCTGAGAGCATTATTTTTTTTTTTCTCCAGATGAACCCATTTTCTCAAAAGATGCAAAGGCCAGGTGGTGGGGGGAGGCCACACATCATCTTGGTATGTGGCTTGTTCTGTAATTGTGAAAGAACGCTGACCTTGAACTCCCCAAGGATGAGGCAGAAATAAACCTTCTGCTGACCTCCTGTACATAGAAACAGCCCGTGTCCCTGTGGAAAGCCTCGAACTTCCAAAGTACTGGGAAAAGCACAGCAGGAAAAGCTGAAGATAACCTGAGGGCGGGCTGTCCCTCTGCAAGGCACTAAGAGACCCCAGGCAGGCGGGTCCTCATCAGGCAACCTCAGCAAAGCAGCTATGTCTGTCCTTCCGAAGAGCCAAGGTACTCACAGAAGGTCCTGATGGTGTCACTGGGCTGGCTGCGGGGGCCGCGGCCGTGGGCGTTCACAGCCCTCACTGCGAACTGATAGCTGGTATCCGCATCCAGGCCCTTGATAACCATGGAGTCCATCTGGATCTGCTCTTGGATTAAGGTCCAACTCATATCCAAATCCGGCCTTTATTGATTATAAAAACAAAACAAGAAGCAGTAATTCAGGAGGAGCAAAAGGGAAGGGCAGCTTGCCGGCCATGTAAACTGACCACATACAGACTTTAGCAGCAAGTTAACTCTCCTATCTAAAAGTCATCTTGATTTTAAATCATAGGTCCTAATTATTAGGTCCCTGCCAATAAAAGCAAATAGATCATTTTTAGGGTCAGTTTAAAGCACGGTTTCAAGATCATCTGTTTTTCCTCGGCATGGGCTTGACTATGGTGAAAAGATCCGCACACAGGAGTTCATTCTCAAAGACTTTTGCCTTCCAGATGTTTCATAAACAAGCCTTCCCCTAACCGTCCCCATTCCCAGGGGTCAGGACGGCACAGATTCCATCTATTCACAATCTGTGCACAAAGTAAACAAATGCAAGTTTTATAGGGTGACTAATTGCATGAGCTTCCATGGGAAAACCCAAGAAGATGGGTCACGGCCATTCTTGTGCTTAATGAAATTATACAACTGTGCCAACTCGCTGAATTTTCATACGTTCTTCTAAAAACCCAACGGAGAATGCAGACCCTCGCCTAGGGCTCCCACCTGGCAGGCAATCAGCAGAGGGTAAGGGGTACAAACGCTGTGGTTGGAGAAAGCCACTCAAATCCTGCCTCTCCTACTTACCAGCTGCTACTGAACTTCTCTAAGTAATGAAAGTACTTATTCAAGAAGACTGTCAAGAAGATTAAATGAATCTATATCCTCAGCAGAGTGCCTGGCATCATGTGGTAAACACTTGGTGTATTTTGGCCATTATTTAGGGGACTTACCCACATCACCGAGCGAGTAGACCACCCCAGGTCACCTGCTTATTACTCTATACCTGTGTGCACCAGTACGGTGCCCCTAGCCCCAGGGTGAGTCAGCCTGTGAAATACAGTTCATCTGAATGAGTGAGATGGGCCACGAGTGTAATGCATACGTTGGATTTCAAAGGAAGAAAAAGAATGTAAAATATCTTACTGATCACACGTTGTGAGGATAATATTTTAGATTCAGAGGGTTAAAACATATGTTATTAAAATTAATTTCACTTTTTTCTTATTGTCTCTTTAATGCCACTATTAGAAAACTTCCAATTTCACATAGGGTCTTTATTAAATTTCTACTGCATAGTGCTACTCTATAGGGCAGTATCCCAGCAGGGAGAAGAGCACCCCAGGTAATAAGAACTCCAGAATGAAACTTGGGGACTGCCTGAGTGGCTCAGTCAGTTAAGCTTCTGCCTTTGGCTCAGGTCATGGTTCCAGGGTCCTGGGATCGAGCCCCACATCGGGCTCCCTGATCAGGAAGAAGCCTGTTTCTCCTTCTCCCTCTGCTTGTGCGCTCTCTCTCTCTCTCTCTCTCTCTCTGTCAAATAAATAAATAAATAATTTCAAAAAAGAAAAGAAAAGAAAAAAACTTGGGAATGATGGTACATGGCTGTGGGATGGTCTCAAGGGTCTAATCGAGCGGGTGTTTTGTGATCACAGCTAAGAATAGCTACATTTGTCAAGTGCTTGTAAAGAACCAATCTTGTTCACAGTATCTATGCAGGAGATACTAATATTAAACACCTCTCTCTTCTTATTTTTACAGAGGAAACTGAGGCATTAAATGAGTAAGTAACCTGCCCAAGTTCACACAGCTGATAAATGGTGAGGTCAACATGGGCGGAGAGGGAAAGGCTGGATTAAGAAGACCCTTGATACTGGATGAAAACTTAGGGCTGGTGTAGCCACTCTAGAAAACAGCATGGAGGTTCCTCAAAAAGTTAAAAACAGAGCTACCCTATGACCCAGCAAATGCACTACTGGGTATTTACCCCAAAGATACAAATGTAGTGATTCAAAAGGGCATGTGCACCCCAGTGTTTACAGCAGCAATGTCCACAATAGCCAAACTGTGAAAAGAGCTGAGATGTCCATTGACAGATGAATGGATAAAGAAGATGTAAGATATACACACATACACACACACATATGCACATATCATATATATATATGATGGAATGTATGATATATATCATATATATCATATATAGATTTATGATTATATCATATGTCAATCATATGACATGATATATATAACATATGATATATATGATGGAATATTACATGGCCATCAAAAAATGAAATCTTGCCACTTGCAACAATGTGGATGGAACTAGAAGGCATTATGTTAAATGAAATAAGTCAATCAGAGAAAGACAATTATCATATGATCTCACTGATATGAGGAATTTGAGAAACAAGACAGAGGATTATAGCGGAAAGAAGGGAAAATGAAACAAGACAAAACCAGAGAGGAAGATAAACCATAAGAGACTCCGGAGGGTTGCTAGCGGAGAGGGGAATGGCAGGGATGGGGTAGCGGGGTGATGGACATTGGGGACGGTATGTGCTATGGGGAGCCCTGTGAATTGTGTAAGACTGATGAATCACAGACCTGTACCCCTGAAACAAATAATACATTATATGTTAATTAAAAATAAAAAAAGGAAAAGAAAACTTGGGGCAGTCGTGGTTGGGCAGACTATTCTCCATCCTTTAGCCTGCTTTCTGACCACTTCTCAGTTGTTCGATCGTTAAATGCCTCTGCTCACAGATATTTAGGGGAAGGCAGAAAGCAAAAGAGTGATGTTTATCCTTCATGAACAACTTATCAGGCAAGGAAGTAGAGCCTTATTTTGCTGAAAGGAGATGCCTGGATGATCCATGGATTTCTCGAATGTGTGCTTGCCTCATTTCTCACTGGCAGGAATTAAAAGCCAAATGGAGTCCTTAAGCCCCATCAAAGATGTTTCCTCAAGCTCACCACGCAAACAAGGAGTCTGTGGGGCCCACGTCCCATAAGAATTCATCTGTTTAGAGAAGCAGCGGCCATGGGGCATGCTCACTGGAGGAAGCAGGGCTCATTTCTCTTTCTTGATATACTTTCCCCAAAGATGGACTTCTTGTATAAACTAACTTTGTCATCAAAGAGAAAATCTCAGTGAGCGGACGGAAGCACATTTACAAATCCAAATTAGAACAAAATCACATCACAGAGGAAAGCCACCAGGGATACCTAAAAGTTGACAGAAAAGATGTGATCTTTAGCTAAAACGTTCCTGTTCTTTGCTAGGCTTTCCAGTGGCATTTATAGGGGAAATGACATGTAACTGCTCTCAGAATGTGCTACTGTTTACCCAGGACGACCTGCAAATATCTGCTACAATCTACAGGTAGAAATATTGTATTTGCTCATTTAATGCAGGAAAGCTATCTTTTCAGAAAAGAAGAGATTGAAATCATTACCATTTAATTCATGATGTCAAGTGAGAGAGCAAAGCTCATGCGGATTGAATACCAGTCCAAAACCTTTAACATTTTGCCTCTGATTTTGTCACCGTTCGCATTTAAATGTTTTTAGAGTCTCTTCATGTACAAAAGTGCAAAGGTGAAGTTGAGAGAGAGATAACTAGGCAAAAGGATTGTGTCAGATCACCCTCAAACAACAGCTTTATCTTTCTCCACTGAAGAAAATCATTCTGTTCTGACTACAAAGTTGCCAGTCAAATCCTCATAACCACACCGGCCTTCCAATGTCCCCATCAGCAAAAAGGCGTGTGGCGCGGAGAGTAAACCAGGAATGTGCTGCCATCCCAGGCAAAAATGGGCAGTCACCAGCTTGGTGGGCACTTTAAACACTTTTCCACATAACAGGATAGGGTTAGGTTGGGCGTCCCACATCCCAGGAGATCAAAGGCCTTTGGAAGGTGTTTCAGCAGCAGAAGGAGGGTCTGATGGGGCAGACAGACTGCAGTCAGCAAAACCCCATTACTTGACTCAAGTCATTGAGACTCACGGGTTCACTGTCGTGGGAAGAAGCAGCACCACCAGCGATGTTACCTGGTTATCAAATAGCTTACAGATCAGCTGGTCCAGATGTCTGAGGGCTCTCAGAAATTACATGCAAAATTTTACGTGTGAGCATCATTTCCATTCCTACGTAAAGTGTCCTTAGCTTCTTATCAGTTTCTCAAAGATAATCATGACCCCAAAAGCTTGAAGAGTCACTGATCTAGTCCAGCCTCTCATTCTACCCATGTGAACACTGAAAAAAGGTAATTTATCTGAAGTCATAGAACCACTGGGTGGTATATTTTTCTGTCTTATTCCCTTTCTTGTGGCATTTTGACTACCTCGCCTATTGCCAATTTCATCTTATGTGGACATTCATTTTTCTTGGTACCATCAAACCCAGCAGGTGGCTGCCTTGGGCTACTCAACTGGGATATGATTAATTATCATCTGGGCACCCATGACAGAAGCTATATTCTAGGAGGCTCCAAGGAACTATAAAGACAGTTCCATTCTTAGGGAGTTTATAATGTAATTGGGAAATATATATCTAAGGATCGGTAAGAAGCCAGTGCAAAATAGCATATTTCAAGTGTTATACAACTGACCCTTGAACAACATGGGGGTGAGGGCGATATCCTCGTGCAGCCAAAAAGCCATGGGTAACTCTTGACTCCCCAAAAGCTTAACAGCCTACTACTGACCTTATCAACAGCATTAAGTCAGTTAACATATATCATGCATGTTCCATAGTACTATACTCTCTATTTTTATAATAAAGTAAGTTAGAAAATAGATAATGTTATTAAGAAAATTATAAGGAAAATACGTGTACAGTACTGTATTTATCATAAAAAGAACAGAAGTGGACCTACACAGCTCAAACCCATGTTGTTCAAGGGTCAACTGTATTTGAATGGCTCAGTGTGAACTGGAATGCTGGGGAAGGTCAAGGAGACCAGGAAGGACTTGAGTTAGATTTCAGATGTATTTGGGTTTTGATCACTGAAAAGGAACAGAGTACCTGTGCGTGGAGGAGAGACAAGAACAACATGAGCTCGCTCTATGATCTGACCACATAAGCACTAGCTACAGGGAAAATACAATGTGGACTATCCAAAGACAATATGGGCCCCGG